TGACAGCGCCGGCCGCCCAAATACAGAGCTTCCAGGGGACCACGGGCTCTGTGCAGCCACGAAGATGTTTCCCTATCCTGGGGCCTCAAAGAAAGTCACCCAGACAAGGAGGCAGGGAAGGCAACACAGGGCAGACTCTGGCTCAGTGCAAGGAAGGACAGGAGCCAGCCCCAGCCAGCAGTCAGTGGCACCCCAGCTCCACAGACAATGCAAGTGTCCCCACCCGTGGTGGCAGCCACAGGCAACGCCAGCCCAGGGCAGCTGGCAGAGAGGGCCATGCAAGGCTGGATGGGGACAAGTGGTGATGTCCAGCTCTGCTCACCACCTGCCACTCCTGCAGTGATGCTGGGGTTGCTCCCCCGACCAGGACCCAGACCTGTGAACTGGGGAGGACGACGCACCGGGCCTCAGCCTCCTGGCCAGCCCGCCTCCTGGAGCTTGGAAGGGGGATAGGCCTCTCCTGTTCAGTGGCCAGGTCACACAGCAGCCCTCCCCTGCAAGACCACCTATCCTGGACAACTCAGGCCATGGTGCCCGTGGCCAGTAGACAGGGCATGGCCCTCAGGCCTCGACCTTTGGAACCTTTAGTTGCAAACAAGACAGCAACAGGAACACAGCTCCGGGCAGCTCCCACACACTGCCCTCCCCTCTAATGGTGGCCCCTGAAAGCCCAGGGCAGCACTGGCCTTCATTTTAACCCTGAACCTCAAGTCCACTTGGTCAGTCCCATGAGTCAACCGATCTCCCCAACGAAGGACGCCTGCTGAAGACAAGGCCTGTGGGGACAGCAGGCATGGAAAAGACACTCTCCCACTCAGCCCACAACTCCACAAGCACCACGTCCCAGAACCACCTGGTCACATCCATTGGTAGACACGGACCTCACGCAACCACCAACGGCACAGCAGGCATGGGATGCCAAGCGAGCACTGGACACTGCCCGGGGCCAGCAGGCATGGGACGCTGAGCAAGCGCCAGCAGAAGGGCCGCGCACCCTGGAGCCAACACTGGCAGGACAGTGCCCAGGACCAAAGCCCACAGAGGCTGGGCAGCCCATAGGGCAGCGAGACGCGGCAACTGGTCTCTGTGCCCTGGCCACCCTGCCGAGGGGACCACATCAGCACGACTCCGGGAGACGCGCACCCTGCTAAAGGCTGGCGGTGGCGAGGGCGGGGAGCAGAGAACATGACATGCACACGGGGAGAAAACACAGGCCAGGTCCACTCAGTGGCAGCAGATCCCGCCACCCTGCGGCAAGACAGTGCCCACAGGGGCCACCCCAGGAAGTATCCCTGAAAACAAAGCACCGCATGCACACGTACACACATGGACACACACGCACACAGAGCTGGGCCCAGCACTGTGACTTCCCTCCTCCTCAGGTGCCGGGTCTGCTGCCCCCTAGGCAGGCGGCTCCAATGCCAGGAGGTGCCTGTCAGAGACCTCCCCGCACCACAGTCTCCAAATGGAGGGGACGGTGAGCTCTGCACATCCCACGAAGAAGCTGGATGTAGCAGAGAGGAGCAGCCGGGCCTGGAGCAGAAAAGCCGGCAGTGGGCTCCCCGCCACCCAGCATGTGACACCCACCACCTGGCACAAGCCCTTACCAATCACACCAGAGGCGGCAAACCCAACTGGCTCCTGGCTCCAGCAACCCTGTGGCACCCGTCTCCTCGAAGCATGACCACGGCCCTGCCAGGCTGGCTTCCCCACCAGCTGCCAGAGTGACCAGCCAGGGCCAGGAGCCTCGGCACCACGAAGGCCGCGGACACGGCTGTAACAGGGACTCCTCCTCCTCCCCGGATGCTCTCCCACCGCACATGTTCTAGGACAGGCTGTGGGTCAATGGCACTATTCCCAGAGAAGGTGCTGGAGCTGCCACACTCCAGGTCATGCATAGGTCACCTGGGAGCCAGGGCGTCTCTGCGGACACAAGACCGTGAAGAAAGCACCCACCTGGCAGTCGCCTGGCACTCCGGGAGCCACAGCCAGCCAGGGAGCCAGCCCCTCAGCACGCAGGGATGCTCAGGGCTCCCCCAAGAGGGCTGCAGTTTCAGTAGCCTTAATACCAAAGGCCACTCAGTCATCTGGGGAGGCAGATTCCAGCACTGCATCCCTCCATCTGGGCCATTACCCAGGGCTGCCTGAGCGAGGGCCCGGCCCGGGCTCCTAAGGGGTCTTCCTCGTCTCGCCCTCCCAACCCCTGCAGGGCCCAGCCCAGGTGCTGCCCCCAGAAGCTCTGAGATTGTGTTCTCTGCAAACACTGGCAAGCATTCTGCTCCCCTCCCCGTCATTTTCCATGAAATTCCCCGAGGACACAGTTCCCAAGGGAATGGAGCCACCAGAAAAGAGGTCAAAGTCTGCGTTACAGATTCTTACAGGGAAGAAAATCAAAACTGCACTTTTTATTCTCACATTTTTAATCAGCAAGGCCAAGGACAAGCGTCCTCCTTTGCCAAGGCAAACACCACTCAGAACTGCAGTTGAGGCGATGCAAGGGCCAAACCAAACAGCTGAGCCGCATCACGGGTGACACTGAGCAGGCCACAGCCCAGCCATTCCAAGAGGCACTGCCAGGGCTCTGCAAGCCGCCAACCCAGGCACAGGAGCGGCCCCGGGAAGGGACGCCAGAGGCAGCCCCGTCCCAGGAGACGACGGAGCTTAGCACTGCCTGGACCGGCTGGACCGGCCCAGGCGTGCACACCGGTGGCTTCAGCGGTCTCCTACTGTGTCTCCATGTGGGCTGAGTTTCTGCCTGGCCGACACTGCCAAGGCTGCCCAACCAGTACCGGCACTACCAAGGCACCTTGAGATCCCCAGTGACAAAGCACAAAAAGGTAACAGCACCAGGACTCAAAGACTCAGCAGTCAGGCCCCCAGAGTGGCAGCCGGAGCCACCTATCTACCAAACCAGCCCCGCCCGCGTGCAGCAGCCGTGCAAGCCTGTCGCCAGGGCAGAGCCTTTCCAAAGTGGATCGGCCCTTCAGACACCTCGGGCCTACCGCGCCCAGCCCTGCCAAATCAAATCATCAACCGCCACATCTTCACTTGAGAAAATCACCAATTAACCCACCCGTGGAAGACGAAAGGCAGAACCTGTGTGTTTCACGTGCTCCGGACCTGCTAGTCTGCGTCCACAGGGGCTCAAAGTCCCCAAACACTCAGTCTTAAAGAGTTTTCCTGCCACCCTCCTGCCAACAGATTTCACTCAGACCCGCAGATAAATTACAGCTCCATCTAGGTGAAGGCCGACTGCCAGTTAGGAGAGTTTTATTAAGGACGATCACGGGGTCGGTCCCCCAGAGCAAAACCACTCCACGTACCCCCCACCCCGCCACAAGTCTCACCACGAAAGTTCCTGCTTTCTGGTTTCAGTGCAGAAGCAGAGAAAATAGGAAAAAGATTCCGCCGTGGTACTTCTCTTCCACCCTCTGCAATCACGAACAAGTCGTAATGGAACTAATGACTAATAATTTAATAAACCTCCCTCCCTTGACGGCGTGTGCTTCCACAGAGCAACAAGACCAGAACCGTATGCCACAGACTCTGTGAAACCAAACCTAACCGCAGGGCCTGTGCCTTTCCCAAGCCGACTCCTCAGGTCACCCTGAATCCTGTGTACCAGGGGCTCCGACATGGCTTTAGGACTCATCTAGTCGACGGCACCCGCCTTCAGAATCCTTCCAGACGGACGTGGCCCCAACTTCACAAGCTTTATTGAAAGCTGTATTCAAATGCAATCTGCCCCCTGCACTCCAGCTGGAACCAGAGGGGCCACCCCAGAAGCCTCCATCTGGCTCTCCGAAGCCTGAGGGCTAAGAGCGCTTTGCAGGCCCCCCGGCCAGGCACGCCTTGGTCGCCTAACACAATCAGAAACTGTTACTCTGCCGGGCAGGGCGCAATCCGGTTAGGAGGCATGAACCAGCAACTGCCGGGTAAATACCCACTCCACTCAAAGCCCAGCCTGTCACTGAACCTTCAGACAGTTTTGGAACAAAGCACATCTTTGTTGTAAGAGATCGCCTAGGACCCAAGGCCACCCAGGGCAGGGGTTTCTCCTCTGAGAAACTGCCCCTCGGGAGCTGCTGGGCTCAGGCGTGGGGGTCCGGACCGAGAATGGATGCTGAAGAAAGAGGAAATCAAGGCCCTGTTTGTCTATCCCAGCCACAGAAACGACCGGGGAGGGGACGGCAGCGGAGGCTTCCAGCGATGCTCTGCGCCCCTCGAATGTGAACCTGTCATTTCACAGACGAGAACGTGGACGCCACTCTTAACACATCTGAAGCAAAGGTAGGCACGTCAGCCTCCTACACAATTAGTCTTCTCTCTCCGCGGTTACATAAGATGATGGATTATCCGTCCACCCATCCAGCCTGCCCGCGCTTCGACCTCCCACCTTAGGCCCCAGCATCGGCGCCGGGCAGGAGTTGTGGAAAGGGAAAGCCTGTTGAGAAGGAAGTGCCCGAGGCTCGCGCAACCGCGCCTGGAAAAGCCCCACGGTGCCAGCGCGCCAGCCGCGGCCTTCAGGCAGCCCCCACGCCGTCCCGGCGCCGCAGCCCCTGGGCCCGCCGCCCCCGCCGCCCCCGCCGCCCCGGCCCCGCCCGGGTGTGCTACGACCCGGACAGGTCCGAGGGCTCCCGGGGCCCGGAGCGCGGCTCCGTTCCTGCCGACGCCAAGTCAGGCGCGCGGAGAGGAGCGCGGGGCCGAGAAGGGCCGTCGGGGCGGGGAGTGCTCCCTGGGCCTGGGGACGGGCCAGGCCGCGGCGGGCATGGGGTGGGGGCGGCCGGGAGGGGGCGACCACCTGTGAGCTGCCGGCGCCGGGCTCACCACCCCCGCAGCCCGGGGCCTGGGTGGCTGCGCCGGGAAGACCCCCGAAGTCCTAGCCTCCTGGCCCCGCGCGCGGCCCCAGGGCCGCCCTGGTCGGTCGGGCTTGGGCGCGCGGGCGGCGCGGGACCCGGGCGCACCCGGAGTAGGCTCAGCTTGGCGCCGGCGGGGCTCACCTTGTAGACATTTTCCGTGAGCCGGTGCATCTCCTCTGAGCGAGTCAGCGACATGGTCCTGGGTCCCGGCGGCACCACAGACCGGAGCGGGGGCGCGAGCGGCGGCGGCGGCAGCAGCAGCAGAAGCAGCAACACGAAGAGGAAAGCTTACCCGAACCACAGAGCCCGTTGTCCGGCGGCGGCCACTTTTATAGCCGCCTGAGGCCCCGCCCTGCGGCAGTCCCCGCCCCTGCGTCCCGCCCCCGTCGCTCCCGCATCACCGCCCCCGACTACCCGCCCCCGCCCAGCGCTGCCGCTGCTAGGCAACCGCCAGGCCCCGCCCCCGCACCGCCCTTTCCATTGGTGGGTTCCGGAGACGGGGGAGGGGGGCGGGATCGCAGGCGGGGCCTGGTGGCCGACTCCAGGCAGCGATTGGTCGGTGGCGGCGTCGATCCTGGGGGAGAAGGGGGAGGTGCGGCGCGCGCTGGGGCCCAGGGAGCAGCCTGAGGGGGGCCCGGCAACAGCCGGGCTGGGGGCGGGGAAGCGGGGGCGGGGTGGCGCAGGAAGAAGGAGCAGAAGGTGCGGGGAGGAGAGCGGGGGGCGCCGGCGGCGAGCGCGCGTGGAGGCGGCACTTCGCGAAGTGGCACTTCGGGGCGGGCGGCTGGCCCGCCGGGTCACGGCCTGGCGCTGCGGGGAGGGGACCCGAGCGGCTCGGACGCAGGACGCCGCGGGCCGGGTTTACAGGTGACAGAGGCCCCGACCCCACCGCTTCGCCGGTAAGCCCGCGGGGCGGGCGGCGACCCCCCCGGCCGGCCTTTCGGGGCAGAGAGGAGAACCCTGGGGGAGGGGGGTGCTGCAGGAGGACCCTGGAGAGAGCTCGGCCCTGGAGTGGAGGACGACTTGGAGAAGCAGGATTTCGGGGGAGCATCATGAGGAGAGGAGTTGGAGGGAGGATCCTGCAGAAGGTGAACTCTGGGGAGGACCCTAGACAGGCAGACAGCGCTTGGGGACTTGGGCCTGGGATTCTGGAGAGGGGAGGACTCTAGGGGAGGAGGGTTGGGGAAGAGGATCTTAGGGGAGGGCCGTGGGAAGGAGGATCTGGAGAGGGGATAAGGGAGTTTCCCATTGGAAGTCCTCGGGACAGGGCGACCCTTAGGGAAGGGGAGGACCCTCGTGCTGGCAGAAGATTCTCGTTGGAGGCAGTTTACTTGGGGGAAGGGGTCTCTGGGGAAGGCAGGGTCGAGGGCAGTAGGAAACGGGGGCCCCGGAGGACTCTCTGGAGGTGGAAAACCCTGGGGGGTGGCGGAACCTCGTAGGAGGAATAGGGGAGTCGGAGCTGCCTCCAGTTTTTAGGAAGGGTCCTGCTTAAGGTTCGTCCCAAGGGGAGATTCTGCGGGGGAAGCTGGCCGAGTTAGCACGTAGGTCTCCCAGTACAATTCCTTTGGAGAAATATTTACATAAATTAGGCTAACGTAGAGGAATTATTTGCTTTACATGTAAAACACCAGATCTGAGCGCTTCCCTTTAATGAAACCTCACACTCTCCCAGCCTCCCATCCCTGGAAAATCAGTCACTCATTCATTCCTTCAACGAGTCAGGCCCCTGGGGGAGACCCAGCTATGTTGGCTGGCCGGCAGACCCCCAGACATCGGCAGGGGCTAGTGCACGGGCTCATGCGGATGGAAAGACCAGGGAAGTAAGATTCAGGAAGCGTTGCCTCCCTCCCACCACAGCCCCGCGCCTCCTCTCCTCCAGCTGAATTTCCTTCCAGCTCTGGCCCTGGCTGCTTCCTTTTTCTTTATTGTCTCCAGTGTTTGGGGGAAGATCCCTGTATATTTATTTTCTAGGATTCTTTTGGTGGCAAATGACAGAAAGCTCGCTCAAACTGGCCCTAACAAATTTACCTGAAGGTAAGAGCATCTCCACTGACCCTGACCCCCTTCTGTCTAGGCCAGCTTCCTGCTGTGCTCTCTGCACCCACCGACCTCACACGCAGCCCTAGAACTGACGTCCACTGGCCTGAACTGGGTCTGGGGCCAACACGGAGCAGGTGGGGGTAGAGCAGCCCTGCTTGCCTGGAGGAAAGTTGAATGGCTGGAACCAAGATGACAGATGGAGGCTGGCAGGCAAACACGGGAGGTCTCCTCACTCCAAGAGGGGAGTCAGCCTGGGGACAGTTCTTCTCCAGGCCCTGCTGCTCCTATCAGCTGCAACACAGCAGAGGTAGGCCCCTCCGGAAAAGCTCCCACGGTCCTGGGTCCTGCTCCAACTTCTAGAAGCTCCCAGCGTTACTTCCTGGGCAGGCCTGCTCATCATCGCGCTACTCCTGTCCAAGGGGATAGTCACGTTCACATTCGGTGACCGACTCAGAGCCCAGCCTGCTTTCCAGGTGGCCAGTGGCTCAGCAGTCTCAGTGCCTGGGCCTGCTCCCTCCACCTGGCAGCTGGGCAAGCGGCTGAATGCGGGCCGGAGGCCTTCCCTGAGAAGAGGGTTATCAGAACACCTGCCATACATGGAGGTGACCAGCTCAGCGCCTGAGAAGACGCACCGCAGCTGATGACAGGCGCAGAGCGGGACGTGGTGAGGTCCTCATACGTAGGAATGGAGAATAAGGGCAAGGAACTCGGTGCCCGCCTGGCATCTGCCCTGCACCAGTGGTCTCCAGGAAGGTCTCCACCGAGGATGTTCCCCGGGCACTCCGTGCTTGCCTTCACCAGCGTCCTGTGAGGCCTTTTGCACTGATGCGGAAGCCTTTCTAAAGGGTGTAGGGGGCTGGGGGGTTGAGTACCAAAGGTTCCAGGAAGAGACAGGCCAGGCTTATGGGCTGGGCATCCAGAGATCGCCCTGACGCCAGCTCCAGGTGGAGTTAGGAGGGCACTCTTGTCCCGACGCATTTTATTTTGGAGGTGTTCACAGACCACCGCCTCTTCCTGTTCCCCTCGACTCTGAGAGTGTGGTGGGGTAGCTGTGGAACCTGACTGCTTGCCTGAAGGTTGGGGAGCGTGGCTAGAAACTGTGGCCCAGACCTGGGATCTCACCCACGCCTCTACGAGACGTCCCGAACTCATCCCATGGACTGAGCGGGGAGGCTTCGCCCTGCCCGCCTCCTCCCAGGAAGGAAGAGCGGAAGAGGTGTCGCCAGCCGCCGAGACTGCCAGCCACCACCCCCTCCCAGATGCTCTGTCCCCACCCAGACCAGGGTCACCTTCTTCCCGCACTGGGGGTGGGGTGGGGTAGGTTTCGCAAATCCAGACTGGGGGGTGGGGGTGGGAGCAGGTTTCTGTAAATGAGCAGCTCATCCAGAGTCACTGAGAAGGAGGCAGACGGAGCCAGTACCCAGCAGGTCTCCTCTCGTGAGCGTCAGCCCTCGCCTGGGCGGGCCGGGGGATCCTCGGCACCCCAGCTCTGAGCCAGGGGTCTGCAGCCAGGGCACCAGCGATGGGCCCTCATGCACACAGGGTGCCGAGTGGGGCCGGAGGCAGGAGTGACTTCAGACAAGAACCTGATGCCACAGCGGGCGACGCGGACCGTGGGTCAGCCAGCACGATGGACCGCTGGGGAGAGGAGGGCTGGAGGCAGAGAGTGGAAGTGTGCAGCCTTCATCAGCTTATTTTTAGTTGAGTTATGTAAGTGGCTTCATCTCAACGTCACATGGGGGGGGGTCTCAGATTTAATTACAGGATGACAGCCTTTGCTTTTCAAGCAAGCTGTTCTCCTGGCAAGCCAGGCGAAGGATTGAGGAGTTTTGCTAAGCAGAAGGAGCCCTTTCCGAGGTGACCACCTAGCAAAACTTGAACCCGCTTTCACTTCCGTCTCCCTCTTCCTGACCAGCCTCAGCCGGCCTCGGCTGAATGTGGCCTGAGAGTAGCCACTTGTGCGCAATCATGGGGACATTTTATGCCTGTCAAGGGAGCTTCCTCTCTCCTCTTCCTCTCCCTCCCACCCTCTGCCTGGCAGCTTTGCCTTCTCTCCAAGAGAAGGGTCCACCCAATCAGAACTCCTCTTCCTTCATTTCATTCCTGGATTAAAGCACTTGTAATCAGTAACCAGAAAGTTCCAGAGCGGGAGAGACCGGAAGGCACTGGAGTGCTGTTGGACAGGCGTCTGGGGCAGAGCCAGGAGGCTGTTCTCTCCCCGCCTGCCCTTGCTTGCTTCCCACTCCGTGCCAGGTGCTGTGGGAGTGGCTGGGCCTGGCTAGGGTCGGCGGGTGAAGCTGTCGGCATGGTGTCCGGAGCACCATTTCTTTGCTTCCTGGATGGGCTGGACGGGCTCCCGGGTTCTTCACCAATGGCAGTAGGGGGTGGGCAGTGCCGAGGGGACATCATCTGGCATAGGCGGGCCCGGGTGCCACTGTGCTAGATGACTGGTTGCTGGGGACAGGTGTCACAGCCTCTCTGAGCCCCTGCTTAGTGGAGGGCAGAGCGTTGTTGGGAGGAGTTCAGGCATAAAGCAACATAAATAGTGCAGAGAATCATCAACAACTGGATGGGACATTCTGAAGAGCTCCCAACGCGACACAGATGGTCACTCCAGAGGCTGACATTTAAAAGGAAGGGGCCCGGCCAGGAGCAGTGGCTCACGCCTGTAATCCCAGCACTTTGGGAGGCTGAGGCAGGTGGATCAACTGGGGTCAGGAGTTCGAAACCAGCCTGGCCAACATGGTGAAACCGCATCTCTGCTAAAAATACAAAAAGGCGTGGTAATCCCAGCTACTTGGGAGGCTGAGGTAGGAGGATCACTTGAACCCGGGAAGTGGAGGTTGCAGTGAGCCGAGATTGTGCCACTGCACGCCAGCCTGGGCGACAAGAGCAAAATTTCATCTCTAAATAAAGTAAGAGGTGCAGGGAGGGGCCCCAGCTCGTGCCCCTTCTGTGTGGGTTGCACATGGTGACTTCCTTCCAGAGACCACAGTGTGGGAAGTAGGCAAGGCATCTCCACAGTGCAGAGCCCGACCCACTGTCTCAGCCCAGAGGTCAAGGCTGGCACCACCACTGAGAGGTCACGCGGGCAGATGCGACGGGGGTGCCTCCCCACTGGGCTCTTCCTCCCAGACCCATAACCCTTGTCTTAGCATCAGAAAAACACCAGTAGACCGGGCACGGTGGCTCACACCTGTGATCGCAGCACTTTGGGAGGCCGGGGGGGGGGGGATTGTTCAAGACCAGTCTGGGCAAAGTAGTAAGACCCCATCTCTACAAAAAAAATTTTTTTTAATTAGCTGGGCGTGATGGCACATGCATGTGGTCCTAGCTACTCTGGAGGCTGAGGTGGGAGGATCACTTGAGCCCAGGAGGTCAAGGCTGCAGTAAGCCATAATCACACCACTGCACTCCAGCCTTGGTGACAAAGCAAGACCCTGTCTCAAAAAAAGAAAAACATCAGGCAAATTCCAACAGGGGGACACTCTACAAAAAACCAGCTCTCCTCAAAACTGCCCAAGTCATCAAAACTGAGGAAAGTGGGCCGGGCGCAGTGGCTCACGCCTGTAATCCCAGCACTCTGGGAGGCCAAGGCGGGCAGATCACGAGGTCAGGAGTTTGAGATCAGCCTAGCCAACATGGTGAAATACCACCTCTGAAAATACCAAAATTAGCTGGGCATGGTGGCAGGCACCTGTAGTCCCAGCTACTCAGGAGGCTGAGGCAGGAGAATCGCTTGAACCTAGGAGGCAGGGGTTGCAGTGAGCCGAGATGGCGCCACAGCACTCCAGCCTGGGTGACAGAGTGAGACTCCGTCTCAAAACAAAACAAAAAAAATACAACCAAGCAAAGTCTG